TGTGGGAAATGCCTTAGAGGTGTTTGTTTGTTTGTTTGTTTGTTTTTAATGGGCCATAGGGGAAAAAGTAATGTTTGAATTTGCTAAATGATTTCTTGCCATTTGTAAAACCAGATATTGCTTATCAACTCCATGTACAAAATGCATGTCGTTCGCCAGGAGTTAGGATGCTTATTGTTCTATTGGGGGGTGCTCAGTTTCAAAAAAATAAAATAGAAAAGCCACATGTGATATAGATGCATCTGAAACTAAAAAAAAAAAAAAATGGTGTAGTTTTAAAAAGAAAACGGTCATGACAGATTGTAGAACTTTTTGGTCTGTTTCCTCAGAATGTGGAGTGGTTTCGAAGTGACCTTGTCTGGAAGGCATGCTTATGTAGCTCTGTCTCTGTAGCCCTTATTTTACAACTTGAATTTAATACTTTTTCCACTGTGTGTCAATTGTAATATTGTATTTAGTTTAAATATTTATAGGATCTTGCCACTGTGTATTTTTCTTTTATGAGTTGAAACATTTGGTGACATGTAGTCCTGTCCGGGGACTGTGAGAGGCAGCATGTCTGATTGGTTGAGACTGAGGTCTCTGGAATAGACGAACTTAAAGCACTTACTTGCTGTGTAGCCTTGAGCACATTATTTAACCTCTCTGGGTATCAGAAGACTCTTCCTTGGAATGATTTATACAAAAGCGGTAATGATGTATTTCAAAATATTGTTGTGTGCCTAGCACACAGGAGAGTGGATTAATGTTCCCTTCAATAAGTATTACTTCCTCGATGGAGAATTAAAAAAAAAAAATCTTGAAGGAGGCTTTCATGGCTGGGTTTTTTATTATCTCTATAAGGTAACGATTGCTTGGAGAAAGCATGATTTTGAAATTGAACTTAACTATAATATTTATGGGTATGTATCTTACCATAACATTCCTCTGTTCTAAGTGTCATCTGGACCATTTGGCATAGTTGCAATTGACGCAAACCTTTATATGCCAAGTTTCTTCTCTATGCTACAACATTTGAATGGTAACTAATATTTGCTGCTTCCTTTCCCACCTTTCCCCTCTAATTTGCTTTAAGCTTTTTGTACGCAGACAGCATAAGATTTGATTTGTTTTGGGGTCATCTGGGTGCCTCGGTTGAGCATCTGACTTCGGCTCAGGTCATGATCTCACAGTTTGTGGGTTCGAGCCCTGTGTTGGGCTCTGTGCTGACAGCTCAGAGCCTGGAGCCTGCTTCAGATTCTGTGTCTCGTCTCTCTCTGCCCCTTCCCCACTTGTGCTGTCTCTCAAAACTAAATGTGTGTGTGTGTGTGTGTGTGTGTGTGTGTGTGTGTGTGTGTGTATTACTACTTAAGGCTACCCTGTGATGGATTTGAAAGATCTGGAAGCTACATGGTAGCTGGCTCAGAGTTATAACCAACTACTCCAGAGCCTCACAATAATTACTTGTAATGAAATGTCACCACTTTCTTTAATTCTGTTGTTTGGCTTTGCTGTCATAAAAATAGGTTCCGTTATGTGTGCTGCTTAGAAAGTAGGTGAAGAGAATGTCTTGTTGTCTTCTTAAAGGGGGAACGAAAGATTGACTAGGGAAGTGTGGTCCAGGATTGCCCCTGGGTTAAGTTCCAAGGTGCCCCTGGCAGCAAGACAATGAAAATTTTCTTTTTCTAAGCTGCTGCTTTAGAGTGACTGCCGCATCTCCAGAGCTCGGGGGGAGTGACACATCCTGAGGTGTTCAGGGGAGTTTTTATTTCTACCTTTGTTCATTTCCGATCTAGCATCCACAACTGGTGTGCTTGAGATCTTATTTAGAGTCCTTTGGGGCAAGGACCACGTCTGCCTATTCTGTGGTGGACAGGGTGAGGACACGGAGCTCTGGGGCCAGATGCATCTGTGTCATTCTTCCCCTCTGCCACCTTCCTGATGGGGTTGCTGTGTTAACTAGATTGCAGTGCAATCAGTTTGTGCCACAAAGTATAGCTGATAAATACTTGTCCTATTTTTATTGATTTCTCCAAATTAAGATTATTGTATTCTCAACCCCTTCCATAGCAACCATATTTTAGAAATAGAGACTAGCATTTTGAATATGGGGGCATCCAAGTGTGTTTTATAGTTGCATTATCATTTAGAAAGTGTGCAGATAATTAGGACCTGAACACTACATGTCGGTGGTAAGGTTTGGCGAAGTTGGGGGGAACAGTGGACAAAAGCAGGCAGAGAGTTAGGATAGAACTGATACTGTGATAATGGGCTTTTTAATTCCTATGCTCCATGGCTCAGTTCATGCCTTAGGTTTTTTCTTTCCTTTTCAAGTAGGCTCCACACCCACTTACCTGTTCCACTGACTGTTACAGCCCAGTGCCCCTCATTGTTGCAGGTGGGTTTTTTTTTTTTTTTTAATGTTTGTTTACTTTGAGAGAGACTGAGTCCTTGTGCTTAAGCTGGGGAGGCAGAGAGAGAATCCCAAGTGGGCTCCATATCACAAACTGTGGGATCATGACTTCAGCCAAACTCAGGAGTTTAATGCTTAACACACTGAGCCATGCAGGTACTCCATTGCCTCAGTTTTAGTAAGCATGTTGAGTTACTTAGGATCCTTTCTCCTTAAAATTTTCAGTCTCTTCCTCTCTCTCTCTTCCTCTCTCTCTCTCTCTCTCTCTCTCTCTCTCTCTCTCTCTCTGGGGACAGGGGCAGTTCCTATAGTGTCTTTTAAAAATGTTTGTCCGGACCCTTGTCCTAGCAATATGCTTTAAAACTGTGTATGTGTGTGTACTTCTTTGTTTAGTTTTGAGCAGCAGACTGCAGTATTTTCTTCTGAAATCTTAAATAGAGCGAACGGATAAAATTGACGATAGTGTATCTTTGAAGATAGGTAAGAGTTAGCCTACCTGTTCATTCTCTACCTTGTTACCCCTCCATATGCCTATGATTCCCTGTGTTTAAGGAACACAGTTTGAAACCATATCATTCTGGAAGATGCATTTGTAACCATGGGCTTCATAGATAATTTAGTAATTAGAAGCCAGTGAACTGAGGTCAGTGCTCTTCATGATGTATTGTAACATCTGGCTTGCTTTCAGAAATAGGCACTCCTTTTGGTGGTTTGTGTTTCTTACCTTCAAGATTTGTGGAGAATCTTTCTGACCTGAAGACCATTGCCCCAGAAAGCACTTTGGAAGAGGTTTCATTTACCAAAGGCTTAGCCAGAGCAGATTGGGATAGGGTGATCTTAGAATTTATTATTTAAGTTGGGACACTTTTGAGAGTGAAACAGAGTGTCAATTACAATTACATTAGGGCTGCAGGAGTGAACCTGGATCTGCCCTCGACAACCAGGACCAGTTTACAGATAGACACACTCTGGATAGAATAGAAATTTTGAATGCCACCAATGTTTTGAAAGCCCGGGACTTACCTGAAACCTTAAAAATGAGTTTTATGTCATCCCTCTGAGGTGAAACCTGCTGTGATACAGGGATGGCACCTTCTATGAGCCAATTTATTGAGCATCTTCTATGTATAAACGACTCTGCTAGTCCTTAGGAGGATTCTTCACCAACCACTGAAACGAGCACGTTGCTTTTCCAGACAAAAGTTTAGAGTCTTGGCTTATAGTTTAGGTTTACTGCATGCTTTAGGCTCCATGTTTTCTCTGTTCTATTTCCTTCATGAATCTTAAAGAGTTAATTCATCTTGTTCTCTCCCTTCTGTTATCCCTATATTTTAATTCCAAATTATTTGGAATCAAATCTCTTTTTTGTTATAAATATTTCATATTTCTATGCACTCTAAAGAGGACCTTGGGTATTTTCTATTTTTTGGCTAAGGATAGCATTCAACTAACAGTGGGTTCTCACTGTATTGATGTGGCTAGGGAGGTCATTGGCAGGCAGAGTAGGAATGTGTTTCAGTTGTAAAAAGAATGAGGACTATTCACATTTAATGGACATGGTGTTTGAACATGGAGAAAGGAGTCAAAAGGTCATCTTATCTAGCCTAAGGAAGTAGTTTGTAAAGGAGTTGATATTACCAGAAGATAAAATGAACTTTTATTCACCTCTAATTTCCTCCTTTACTTAGCTCTACTAGTATCTTTTTAAAACTAGTTTTAAATGACTGTTTACCTAAGTACAACTCAATATTGACCAGTTTTGTTCCCTGATGATCACTTTGCTGAGTATGTAGCCTTTAGGGTCTAATCTTAAAAATGTAACAAATTCCTTATTTGTGTTAAATGAGTGTAAGCATTTTCTCCCTATTCAGAATACCATCTCTGCTGTGGTTGTTCTCACACTATAAGACATCTATAGCATACTCAACCTTGACCTTTATCCTTTATCCACTATGACATGTTCATCATTTGCTGCTTTTCATCTCCGCGCACTGAGTTCTTTGAAATCATGGATGTATCTAGCTGCTTTCATTCTGTGTGTTGCAGGTCAAGCATGGCCTTCCTGGTGGTCTCTGTGTTTAATGTTTGCATGACATTGGCTTTGATTCTTGTAGGGGAAGCATCTTGATCTTAAGAGCCATGTGTATTTACACATTTAATTCTGAAGTAAGGGAGAGGTGGAATTTTCTAGACTACATTATACTCTTTGTCCTCCTCATTTGAAAATGAATGTGTATGAGAACAAGAAGGGAGTATTTAGTGTAAATGAATGGCGAAGAGACACCAGAAAAAGAAAAATTGATGGAGGTGGTAGTGTTGGTGGAAATATATGGGCAGTTACTGTTTTATACTAATATCCAAAGCTAGTTTCTAATCTATTTGGATATACGGAATTTGATAAATATTTGCCTAATTGAATTAAAATGATAGTCAAGCATAGCTTACCTAGAAATGTGAGATGGGAGGGTTGGTGATGAGGAAGCCAAACTGAAGGGCCACTACTTGGCAGGCAACTACTGGTCTATAATGGAGAAATGGCCATTAGTTTTCTTACATTCTGTTAAACAGGTTGGGTGCTTACTGTTAGGGTTCAAGCCAAAATGCTCACCTTAATTCCTTAAATCACTGGTATGACTCCTGGACATGGACTGGTAGCATCAGCATTGCAGATTCCCAGGAGTGACTCCAGATTCCCACCCCTGAAACAAAGTCTGTGGGTGAGCTCTGTCCAAGATGTGGGTTTTAGCAGGTGTATACAAGTTTGAGAATCACTAGTAATCCAAAAATTTGTAGTAGCTTTAGGTTGTGAAGTCATTTAATAATGTGTTTAAAGCCAGAATGTACATTTTATATATTAGTGGGAGATTGGGGAACCCCCAGTTAAATACTCTGATTTATGCTAAGGATTTAACTTTTTAAATTTTTTTAATGCTTGTTTATTTTTGAGAGAGAGAGAGAGAGAGCGCGAGCGTGCATGCTCAGTAGGGACAGAGACAGGTGGAGATGCAGAATCAAAAGCAGATTCCAGGCTCTGAGCTGTCAGCACAGAGCCCTATGCGGGGCTCGAACCCACAGACCCGCTAGACCATGGCCAGAGCCAAGGTTGGACGCTTAACCAACTGAGCCACCCAGGTGGCTCTAAGTATTTTAACTTTCAGGATATATCCTGCTAGAATTAGTAGATTCTAAGTCACACACCAGTGATTGTTTTGTTTTGTTGTTGTTGTTTTTTTAGAATTTGATAATAATTTGCAGTAGGATGTTTCGCTGTGGTCTGTGGTTTGTCCCCAGTTTTCTTCACGGAAAGGTCACATCCTGAAATTAGACATTAGTCCTGGGCTCTGCATGGTACCTGTAGGGTAGTCCTGACACTGCCTTGCTCAGCTGTGGACTTGATGGGGTAGAGAGAGGCTCTTTTAATTCCACACCCCACTAGACAGGTAGGAAGGGAATTTAATGAAGACTTATTCTTCAAGTTGTTTGCTTTAAGCAATTTAATTAAGGAAAACTTACTAAGGCATGCATAGGAAAATTAGAAAATGTAGAAAAGTGACAAAGAAATACCACTGGGAAATTTATCCTTGGATAACCATTTTGTTGTAAATGGTAAAGTAAGGAAAAGAAGGCTCACAAGTAAGTTTATATCTCCTGCTTTTGTGCTATAGTAATATTAGTAGCAATGCTAATACCTAGAATTGAGTTTTTAGAATATGCTAAATAGTCTCCTAAATATCTTATTTATATTAACTCCTTAAAACCTAATAACTAATGTATGAAGTAAGTTCTGTTAATGTACCCTAATAAAACAAGGACAGTGAGGCACAGAGTGGTTAAGCTTCGTACCCAAGGTCACACAGCTAGGAAGGATGTGAGTTGCAGCAGGGGATGCCTTAGTTCTTGGTCGTCCTCTAGGATGATGGGAAACACTGCTGGTATTACTGCTGGGCAGTGGTGGTGGTGGAGGTGGAGAGCAGACTCATGAGGACATGTGTTGGGTTGAGGGTGAGGAGCAGGGCATTTTTGCTGGGTCAGGTGGGCAGGGAGGTGGATCAACAACTCTAGGGCGTCTGTAGCTCCTATGCTTTTAGGACGGCCAGCACCCATTAGTGACCCAGCTAATCATCAGCTTCACCTGGAAATACCTCCCATTCCATGGGCATCAATATGTAGAGCTGCTAAAAGAATGCCTGCTGATTGGGCTCTTCACAGCTTGCCTTGAAATGGTGGGCATCTGTTAAATTGTAAACGTTACATCCTCTGTGCTGTGAACATTCACAAACACCTTGAACCTGAAGGAAATGTGTCAAGTAGCCTTCACAATTTGCTACTACAGTGGGGGCTGACAGAATCATTATCGGTCACTGAGCTTTTATTATATTTTAAGTTTATTTTGAGAGAGAAAGAGAACAAGCATGGGGGAGGAGCAGAGACGGAGAGAGAGAATCTCAAAGCAGGCTTCTTGCTGTCAGCACATAGCCAGATGTAGGGCTTATTCCCCGCAAATCACAAGATCATGACCTGGGCCATAATCAAGAGTCAGGTGCTTAACTGACTGAACCACCCAGGCACCCTGGTCACTGAGCCTTTAAATAATACTTATTTGTAAAGTTGCCTTGTACTTTGATCTTGAGTTTAATGCCATCTTGGGTCATAATGACTTTTCAAAATCTCACGAGCTTTGCATGTTTGGTCATTTATTTAATTTTCCTTAAAATTATTTCCCAGAACAGTAAGTGGAAATTTTTTCTTGTTATATGAAAGTAAAGAATCTAAGAGTGAATTGATTTAAAATAGCCAGTGAACAAAGACTGATCTCTAAGGGATATATAAGGTAGTGGCTAAGATTCTGAACTACAGAGTTGAAATTCCTGGATTCAAATTTGACTTCCACCACTTACCAGCTGAGTCTGGCTAAAATACTTTAACTCATTCATTAAATGGGAATAACTCTCTGTATCCCATAGGATTGTTGTAAGAATTCATTGAGCATTAGTGCAGTGCCTAATGTGTGGAAAACACTTAATAAATGTTAGTAATTATTAAATACCAGGAAGGCAGGTAACTGTAGACAGAAGCTGAGATCTCTTACCACTGCTCCCAACCCCTACCTACCCCAGTATATCTAGGTGACTTCCCGGTGTCAGTTTTCAAATCTGTATGTTTTTCTGTCGGATAGTTGCACGCCAGAAGGAAAGAATCGTGGATTAACCATTTCCCTATTGATGGCTGTTTGGGTTATTTCATATTTTCCTCATCATTATAAACATCTCATAACCTTATTTTGTCACTCCCTCCTACTTTCCTCTTAAAACTTTGAAGGCTGTATTTTGATGTCGGTCTTCAGTTCCACCGCGGTAATTGTTTTCATTATTCTGCTAACACTTGTCTGGTGGGGTATCAGGAAGAGTTTGGGCTCATTTGGTGTAAAGTTAAATCATTATTGGGCATGCCTTGTTATGTTTTAAAGAACCACAGTCTTTTCATGAGGGCAGGAGGGGTGTGTTTTAGCAGAGAAAAAAGAAGAAGCTAAGTACTCTTACTGAAAACTTATGGCCAGTCTCTCAGAAATTCAAACCTAAACTCATTAGTTGGTATATCATTGTACAAAGTGCTCATAAGCAGTATTGAGAGTTTTCTCATTTATATTCAATGGAATGCCTTTTTCCCTGAAATTGTTCTTCCTCAAATTGATGTTTAATATTTTTAAATGTTTGCTTATTTTTGAGGGGGAATATGAGCATGAATAGGGGGAGCAGCTGAAAGAGGGAGATCCAGAATCTGAACCAGGCTCCAAGCTGTCAGTACAAAGCCAGAAGCGGGGCTCAAACCCACAAACTGCGAGATCATGACCTGAGCTGAAGTAGGACGCTTAACTGACTGAGCCACCCAGGCGCCCCTAATTTATATGTTTAAAAACTTCTCTAGTGTCTAATCACAAGAATATTACTGTCTACAAGGAGGAGCCTGGGCAATGGTTTGAAACTTCTTTTTGACTGGCTCTGGTCAGGCATAGGAGCTTTCCAGGGGAGTGTTCAGACAGTCTGAGGGAGTCTTCCCTTCAACCTCTTCAAGACCATTTCTGGGTCTGTGTTTGATGTAAAGATGTATTAAGATTTTGTTCGACTAGAAGTCCTTCCTGACAAATAACACTCATAACAACTGTGATTTAGAAGGGTCTCTGATTTCGTCTCTTTCCAAATAATGGGAGGGGCTGGAACAGGGCCTTGTGACCCTGAGAATTGAAGGTGGCAGGCAAAGACCAGAGCTGTCTGTCCATGATGAGCCTGACCGGTTCTGGTCCACGGGGACATTTGATTGTTGTCTTTGCCCTGAACTTAATCACAGGAGTTCCCGAGTTCCTGGTGTAGGTTCCACTTGGCAATGTACACAGGTGCCTTTGGCTTTGATGTCATTTTGCTTTGTTTGCTTTCAGTCCCTCCTGTCTCCTTAGTGATTCTGTTTGCGTGGCTGTGGAAACTTCATGCTAATGGCTCTCCTGGCATAGCGAGTTTGTGGGGGGGGGGGGGGGTCATCTGATTCCTGTTAAGTAATGAAATTTTTCTTCACATCCTCAATTTTGAGGCACTCAGAGGCCTCTGTTAAAATGAGAACATGAACTTTATCAAAGTCAAAATGCAAACAAGTTTGTGAAATATTTGAAACTTAACACTGAATATGTCCAGAAATCCCAAGCAGAAGAAGACTTTAGGCTTCTATTCATAGTACCAGCCCAAATGGAGAGCTGTTTGTTGTTGAGTGAATGAACTTAACATTAAATATAGTTGCCTAAAAGTGTAGAAACGTTTTGATTTACCTTCCTAAGTGAATGTTGTTGAAAGAATAACCTCGGATAACCATAAGTCAGCCTCTCAGCATGATATATCAACTAACATGTTTGGGAGAGTTCCCTAAGTTCACAATGACACTCTTCCTTTAAGGATGACACCCAACAGAAAGAATCCTGAATGCTATTACCCAATGCCCATGGCCACAGGTCCAGAGATGATTGTGTAGCTGGAAAGATAGCCGGAGACCACAGAAATGGGGAACTGAACCAGTAACACATTTAAAAATTAAAAAAAAAAAAAAAAAAAAATCAGTGAAGAAGGAAAGATGTGAATTATAATGTTGTATTGGTAAAAAGTAAAGTCACTACCAAAACAAAACTAGCAGGAATGAAACAGCTTAAAGAGGAAAACATATTAGAGGAGGAAAGCATGGCCTTACGGCATTTCCAGCTTCTGGTTTTAGTAGAACCTAAGTTGTCTGCTGTCCTTGCTTCATAGGCATGTTAGTGTCTCATCAGTAAACTCCATGGTCTACGGGACGCCTGGGTGGTCGATTAAACATCTGACTTCAGCTCAGGTACTTATCTCCCGGTTTGTGGGTTGGAGCCCCGCATCCGGTTCTGTGCTGACAGCTCAGGGCCTGGAGCCTGCTTCGGAGTCTGTTTCTCCCTCTCTCTCTGCCCTCTCTTTGCTCATGTCTCTGTCTCTCAACAATAAATAAATGTTAAAAATTTTTTTAAAAATTCACTGGTCTAAAAAAATAACAAACAAGTCCCCAAAAAACACAGTTTGACTAGACTTTAGACATTATGAAAATTTTATTTACACAAAAGTACTTGTATAATAGTGTAGTCCTTTTTTAGGGTGTTGTTATTTTTTGACTTTCACATTAGTCTTAGTTATATGAGACG